TAGTTAACCGTCCTGTGGTGGGCACAGAGGGGAAGCCAAGCATTTCTATTATATTTTCTTGCACCATTTTTCCTTTTAAAGGTTCCCAACAGAAGCACAAAGCACGTGCCAGGTGATCCCAAATGGTCAGATGTATGTCAATGTGAGTAGCAAACTATAGTCCGGTTCAGTCGCAAGCATCAGAAAAAAGCAATCTTGTAGAAACTTTAGCTATATTCACACTTTTGTAAACCGTGACTTATAGTTTAGTGAGTTGCGTCAGCACACCCAGTAGGTGTTCACTGTTGGAAGAAGAATTAATCCTATCTTTCTCAGATTGTTGCTAAGGATGCTTAATGCCTAGAGATCAGTAGTACACAAAAAATACAAAAAGGTAATAGGCTGAATTTATTTCCTCAGTGCTCATCATTTTGTAACCAACGTATACCACATGAATACAGGTATAGATAAATTTTAAAAATCACCAGTCTGAAGTTGATTTTTTAAAAAATGTATTGTCCAGGATGCAGAGTATGAGGAGTTTGATTCCATAAGCCAAAGGCAGGATGCTTTGAATTCTCCTTGGTTAATTCCACTGGATTAATGCAGCCTAAACAATCCTGTGGATCTTTTCTAAACTATTCACTCAGTACTGTCTAATTTATAGAGAACTAGCAAAAAGCTAGCTTAATATATTTCTGTTTATACTGATAGAAGCCTGAATCGCTTTTATTATAAACTTATGTAGTGCACAGAAAAAAGAATGAACCAGTTTGTTATGCTAAACCATTTTTTACAAACCCATCTTCCTGCATACCTGATTTAATTTACTTAATTTCCTTAGGTAAACACATGTTTAAATCCAGAGCCCTTGTATGCAGTAAACATTCTAAGTAATGGTACAGGAAATGCACCACCAGCAGGTAAATCTTCATTATTGCAATTAGAGTTTAGCTATATAGAACCTGTGACTACAGTGGTTGCCAAATTTGTGAGAAATCATATAAAGTGGGATGATTCACTTTGGATTCTTTTTATTTAGAGGGCATATGTAGTGGAGAAGCAAGTTCACACCATGTCAGATGAATCAGTTGCACTGTTTAAGTCTGTCTGTCTAGTAGCCTGCCTTATATTCAGGAGCTCAAGATGTACGTAGCCCTCCCTTCTCCCACTTCCCCCGACAATAACAACTCTGTGAGGTAGGGTGAGCAGAGAACATAACTGCACCAAAGTCACCTAGTCAACCTCTATGGTTGAGAGTGGGTCTGGATCTCACAATTCCTAGTCCAACATCTTCACCACTATACCACGCTGGCTCTCACATTATGTCCATATGAGGACATTGCTTCTGGAGGCAGGATGGCAGTACTCATTATATCTAACCAGTCTTAACCCAGTCAGTGCGTGCGTGCGTGCGTGTAGACAGCATCCTTCATAGCAACATTACATTTAGCAATTGCTCTATATTCTCCTGATATTTTATTTAAAAAGTGTGTTCAAGTGTATAAAGTCTGCTCATTCCTGAACTTTACTGCTGAGGGAAAATGTTGCCCAGGTCCTAGTCCCTTCACTTCTCCCTTCCATATATAATTTTTACCTTTTACCCTAGAGTTAGGGTAGAAGATGGGATTCAATATAAATGGGATTTTTGTTTCTTAATACTTTTGATTAGCAAAATAAAACTTCACAATCTTTTTCTTTTTTGTCTCTGGCTTTCTTTTTCCAGATGTATCAAAAAGCAACTCGCATCCTCCTAATTATTATGAGCTAATGGAATTTGATCCTTTGGCCCCTTGTGACAAAACCGAGTAAGTGATTTTCAGAATTACTAAATTGCTGCTTGCGTATTTGTTTTGTTCTTAATAGCCCAGGCCAACACCGGCAGCTTTTCTTATGACAGTGCAGCAGAAATATGATACTGTGCGTATTTTAAGTCACTAGGGATGGCTGCTAAAATTGAATGGCCACATGTTTTTCTTCAATATTTATTCATTTTATGTTACTGAATTGCATCCAGTAGTACCCATCCACCTGAGTGGATATCTCTTTTGCCAGTCCCCCCACCTTCCCTAGCAGATATGGGGGACAGCAGAAGAGAGAAAAGTTTTACTGGGTGAGCAGGTACCTGTTTATGTAATAATGCATTCTTACCATTGTAACAAGCAATACATACATACATACACTATTCTCTATGGGGGTAAGCAACATTAATGCAAAGCACAGAAAAGAGTAACAGCCCGTAGCTTGAAGGATGAGGCATCTTTGGGCGACACTATGCTAGCCTCCGAGAGGGCACCTGGCTCCAAGACAGAACAGAGAAGTATGTCAAAGACTCAAAAACTGCATAAAGAAGTAGAAACACAGCCATATACAGCTGTGAAGAAAATGTGGAGCTACATCCATTGAGTGGCTCTGGAACATGAGTGATGAAAGAGTGAAAGGCTGCAAAAGGAGAAAGATCAGCTCACAAGAGAACTGGAGAATGTTTAAGGCCATCTGAACTGGGGCCAGGCTGGGCTCTCAGGAAGTAAAAATAAGAGCCTGAATTCCCACACAGGTTGCTGGAAACAACATTCAGTCACTTCACTTTACTTCACTTCAAATTTCATAGCCCACTCTCACTTGTCCCAAAGAACCTGACTCTCACATTGTGACCTGGATAACCTCTCAACTTGCCTTCATATGTCCATTGAAAGTGACCTCTGGTGTTCATTGTACCATTTTTATATTCAATGTAGTAACTTTTTAGCATCTCACAGTTCTCAGATGCACACATGTATTGCTTGTTGAGAACTCAGTATGACCTCAGAAGGCTCAGGAAATCCCACCACAGCTGTAAATCATACTTGATGGTTAAAGTCACCTATTTAGTAAGCCTCCTGATCTGCAAAAAGGAGAGAAAGGAAGTTGAGGAGAACCCAAAACTAAGCACTACATAAAATTATTATGAATTGAGAGGCAAGAATATTGTGATTGACAGATGGCAATATTAGATTAGGTAAATACATGTAATTAGTTCTAGAATGTCACCCCCTAGAGGAAGGTGGGAAAGATTATTTTTACCCTGACCCGGTGGCCCCCTCTGTTACATACTAGTGTCCCAGAGGTCCCTGTAAATCCATCAGAGCAGCATTTGAGAGGGAAGATGAAAATGGTCTATTTCCTCTAGTGGAATGTCCTGTGAGCAAAGTAATAATTAGAAAACTAAGGAAAAAGATATGAATTTGCCTTCCTGATAAGCCTGTCAGTTAAGAATTGGGTCGGGTGTTATAGTATTGCTCGTCAAATATGTGAGATAAGTGTATCTGAATCACAAATTGAAGATACTTTTATTACTAGGATTAACTAGTAATTAACTAAGTAAGATTACTATTTATTACTAATGAAAGTGTGAGCAGTTTACTATTTTAACTGCTGCTTAGCTGAAATGTGGCATGACTGGGTCAAAGAAAATTGGGAGACTTGCTGCAAGTAATGTTTTATTGTTGGGGCACGACCAAGAGGCGTGTTAGGCAAGTTGTATGACTATCCCTTAACTCTCCTGTCTGTGGATATTGCTTTAGTAACCAATTTTTAGATTATTCCTTGCCATGAAATGTTTATCATCTGCTTTGATTTCAGACCTATTTATGAAGAAATTGATCCACACCTCTTCAAAGCACAGGTTAACATCAGTTGCTAGAAGCAGATGCCGGTAACGAGAATTTATCTAACAACATGGTTGATTCTGCTCATTGCTTCAAAATCTGTCATGTAAAAGACAAACTACTCAGTAGGCAGAAATTTGGGATAAGGTGATTTATCAAACTATTCAACAGAAGACACTTCAAATCTAAGTTATGTATCCTACATACCCTACCTTAAGTATATTGCATCAGGTTCAACTCATTAAAAATACAAGATTTGCTTCTACAATCTTTGGACCAAAATCTGCAATAGATACAGTGAGTGTTTTTCAAACATCCATTCTTCTAGAAGTGTAACACTGAAATTGCAACTGATATTTACAGAATCTTGCACCTAGAGTAAGTTACTTTAATAGAATACTTCTGATAATAAAAGCAAAATCTTTTCCAATGGGAAGAACTACACCGCATATGGCTGAATAATTTATTGGTATCTAGTAGAATTGCTTATGATCCCAATAAAAAAACGTGAGTGTTGAATCGATGATTATACCTGTAGAGGCCCAAGCTCAAATTCAAACTGTTGAGTACAGGGAGAGATCTAGCTATTAATTAAATCTTGCAGTCAGATTTCCTGGCAGGCTACTTGGTAGGACAGACCTTACAGTTTGTCTTTAATGTCACTCTTTGGTGAAAAATAATTACTAACCAGGTAGCTGAATTTAGATTTCCTTGCAGTATGTTTCCTGTTCTTCTGATAGTTAGCCGCTGTAACACTTCTGAGTTATGGAATGCACTTTAAAAGGAAAAAAAAATAGGCACAAGCTACTGCAAAATAAAGCATATGAATCACTAGCATTCGTGGCGTACTATGGTAGCAAGTCTTGTTCCACTTCGTTGTCTTAATATACTTTCATCTATTTTCCTAGATTATTTCATTCTCTCTCAACAGGAAGCTAAATATGTATGCAGCAGTAGCTTTTGTAAGTTATTGAGGGCTGTGTTGGGAGCAGCGGCAGCAAGGCACTGCCAGAATGCCTGGGGACAGCAAGCATAAAACATCCCTTGCACGGTATTTGGGGTAACCGTGCCTTTGATTATATTATCGCTGTTGCTTTCTGCTATCCCCAACAATTCAGGTTATCTTGAATAACTAATACTTGGTCGTGGGATCATATAAAAGGGTAACTGAAATAAGTGCCTTTTCTCTCTAAGTTGTTTCCAGATTTTGTGTCCAAACTTACAATAAATTGGTACCCTTTAAGTCTTGAGTAATATGCATACCATTCTTTATGTTTTACAATGGCTGTTATTGACACACAATCCAAGTAAAGAATCTGGAAAGGAAAATTGAATTAATGGTAGCTGATTCTAGCTTGTATTTTATGTATGATATTTTGTGCTGCATCAGATCCACTCTCCCAGATTTGCTCTGGACTGTTGAGGGATCTTCCATAAACATTAGGGAGATATGTAGGGAAGATTAGGGAGAAATACAAAATTAAGTAAAGTTGGGTTTAGCCTATTTTCAGGGTGAATGTGCTTTGCAACATTGTCAAACCTATAAAGTTTTTATATTGGGGGGTGATTCTTCTGGCCCCTTTTTTCCCCCAGATTTCCATCACATAGTGAAGTGAACCATTTGTGGTAACAGCCTTTTGAAATGTAATGTATTTTAGATATTGTTTGACAGTTTTCAGTTCATACTGTAACAGTGATGTTCATATCTTCTTTTGGAAAAGCAGTTTTTCAGGTTGTTTCAAGCTAAAAGCCCATGTTAACAGAATCATTTTCTCAACCTCCTCCTCAAATACAGATAAATTTATGAGAAAAATCAGAGCACCATCATCCACTCTGAAAAACTTATGCTGGTTATTACATTTTAATCCACTTTCTGAGTTTGCAGAAAACACACTGGATTTGTGCAACATGCTAAGCCACAGAAAATGTAAATCTTGGTTAGACTTAATCAAACTTAGCGTGTTATACAAATAAAGCTGTTTAGTCTTTATTTGACCTGGTTGGGTGTTATTTCATGGGAGAATGAAACAGAAAGAATAGAATTAAAGTGTAAATATGTTACCCTGAAGTAGAATTCAGGAGGAAAGGTTTAACTCAGGCTATTATGGGAGGGTAAAAAACAGCCTTTCAAAAGTTGTTCTTCATTTATTTCAGCTTGTAGGTAACTCATCAAAAATGGGAATAGAGCTTTCAGAATAAAAAGTTGCTACACAGAACAACTGAGTTTTAACATAACACATTCAATGATATCATCTGTACATTTATTCAAACAGCTTACAAAACTTACCAGATCATGCTACTTCTGATTTAAGGTAGGCAATTAAAGTCAAGTCTAGTAATGCTGCATTTATTAAATAGGCACCAAATCTCCAAAAAGTCAACAATTTGTTTTCCCCTTTGAACCACTAATCCATTAATATTTTAGATAACTGTGAAATTGAAGCTTAAAAAAAATTTGTAGCATGACCGTCATAAATTGGCAATTGGACAGATCTTCCTGTAAGTGAGAGAGAGAGAAATGAACAATATGAGCTATTTTTGTATATCATTTCTTTGTATTCTGATTTTGCTTTTAAAGTGAAGATTAATCACATCTCCAAATAGAAGACACAGCAGTGCATATTCAGCACATAAAACATAATGCCTGAATTGGTCAGCATCTTCTTCCTAGGTTAAAGAAGTTATTTTTACAGTCAGTGGATCATCAATAGAGAACTGAAGAGAGATTTCTGATGCAGAGTCTACATGTTATACTATTAGTTATAACCTGGAAGTGGTGGTTTATATCCTTCTTTTGCTTCAAAAAATGTGTAAGAAAGAATAATCAAATTAACTTTTTCCATCTTTGGGTCTTCTACAAATTCAGGATCAATGAAGAAAAATACTGGCATGTCCACTTCTTCATGAGGATTGAGTCTTTGTTCTTCAAAACAAAAGCACTGAGAGAAAAAAAGGGGGGGGGTTCAAAATTGAACAGTTAGCTAACTTCTGTTTTATATTAACCTTTAATTCAGATCAATACATTTGTTTAAACAATCTATTAAAAAACAAATAGAATTTCAAACCAACTTTCTTTGTCAAGCAATGATTTTATAAACATTTTAGAATCTGCCTGACCGTAAAGCATTTAAAGAAACACTAACATCAAAAACTAAGTGCCACTGGTGAACATCCCTGTTTTATTCATATTTCAGGGAAAAGTGAATATTTTGAACTATTGGAAATATGTTTATTATGCTATAGAAAAGGTAACAATCCTTAAAGAGAAAAAAATGAAGTTTTTTTCAGAATTCAGAAGTTCTGAATTCAAGAGGACCACAACCAGAGAGGTTGGGATCATACCATAAATCTAATTCTATAAATTGCTACAAATATAGATTTTCAAAACAGACTCTAGTTATAAATGATTGAGGAAGTTAACCAAACTGAGCAGCACTTACTTGTATCTTATTGAAATATTGTCCAGCTTCAGGTGGTAGTACGTTGTAAGTAGATATTCCAATTATTGGTTTATCAGTGGGATTCTTTGCTTTATAGAAGGCAAGCGCAGTTTCTCCTGGAACCACCTATTTTAAAAAGTTACAACTGTCATGTTTCTAGCTTCTCTCCATACTTGCTCTTATATCTTACAAAATGGCTTTTCAAACAAAGTCTGTACACCAAGTTACATTAAAGGTTCAGTAATCTGAGGTGGAGCACCTCTGTTGGCATTTTATTTCAAAATATTCATAAAAAGCCATTTTAGATTGTATAAAGAAACCAACCAGAATTCAGTTCACTCTTAATACAGATGGAATACTGAGATTAGATTTACATAGCAGAAGAACTCTAAAAAAAGTATCTCTAAACTTAACAATATGGTGTTCTGGTCAGAAAGATGGAACAGCATGTTATAGTTCACACTATCTCATGCAAGCACATTAATGGTACATGCAAAGGTAACAATATTAGCATAGAAGGGCATTTCTATAGCTTCATAAACTGCAGTTGTGCATGTGGCAAATAGGCAGTGGTACTGGAGTTAAGCCTGGCTGCCATCTATATTTGCTACTAACATAAATTTAATTCTAAAACTAGTAATGCTAACAGAAACTAGTAGTGCAAAATTTATTGTTTGATTCAACTTGCATCCCACCTATCTATTTAACTGAAAAGGGACCTCTTACTTGAAACCTCCCGGTTTGGGAATCACATTCTTGGTATTTTTATAAGAGCAGTCCCTGTCATTGGTATTTGTAATAAATGCCTGTGAAAGAAACTTCATGCAAAATTCACCTACCAGATTCAATCACTTACATAAACTTCAGTCTGCTGAGGCTTGAAATTCCACTGAAGACTTGAATGTACATCTGAATTGAAGGTGACTTTAATTATGCGGTCTTTTACAGGTTCCATGGTCTCAATCTGGCCTGAACTGTGACCTGCTATAGTTGACCCACCAAGCCCAGTAGCCTGAAAAGAAAATAAGCTGTAATTAAAATAACCTGCTTGAAAACAATTGATTTTGAAGGCAAGAAGAACAGAATATTTTTTCATTAGAGATTAATTATTTACTTAAAATTAGCAACACTTACTAGAGCTGTGGAGTGCTTTAAATTCAAAGGCAAAAAGATGTCTCAGTGTCTGCAAGGGTGCTCATGGAATATCTCTCTGCAGCTCCTTAAACCAGCTGTGTCTTTTAACAGGATCATGCAGTTGCCTTCTGCAGTTGCAGCAAGATCCTGGGAAAATACGAGTTTCATTTAAGTAGTTGGAGAGAGGAGCAATGTGTGCATCTATTAATGCTTCAAAGCAACTTTTTGAATCTGAAGTGCTCCACAGCCATTATAATCTGAGCAGCAGTTGGTTTTTTCCCTAGAAGTAATGTTGGATCAGAAGGTTTATCAGTATCTTACTCTTCAATGAGGCCAACTAAATGCCTATGGGGAACCCACAAGAAGGACATTAAAGCAATACCCCATGGAAATTCAGATGTGCGCTACATCTGTTGCTAGAGGTAATACTGTATATAATTACCATGATAGCCCCACCCTTCATGAAACTCTGAAATCCCCTTATAAAGCTCCCTCTCAGCAGATTAGCACTTTCACGTAATCTGAACTTGTTATTTCAGTCAACTGACACCATTCTGGTCAAAACCATAATAAGACCAGCTCATATAAATTATGTAAATTTATGTTTAGTTTGGATTATTTTTGGTACAGTAGACTTTGTTAGTTATGTTGAGGTGATACCTGGTTGCAATTTATGTTTATTATTTGATATACTTCTAACACACAGACACACACACACACTAATTATTCTTGGCAGCTCATAAACTATATAAACAAAAATTAAAACACCTATGCAGACCTTAAAACCAATCAAAACAAAATCATAATGATAACCATATCAGCTCCTACAAAATGTCAGAATATAAAAATGAGCCAAAGAAATAAAAGAGAAAACATGGGAGATGCAAAACAAATGCACAAATTACTGAAATTACTGCAGTTGTTCCTCACACAATCACATTTTGCTTAAGATTTTATAAAGAAGGACCATAGCTGGAGAGAAAACTAACAAATGAACAGGAATATTTTAGAAAAGTCAGAGGAGCATGAGATAGCAAACACAAGATGGATAATGGATAGAGCAGGGGAATATGTGGACGTTTACCTTTGATTTATAATATTAACCATAACAAGACCTTTAATGGCCAGACCATGGAATATATTAAAGCTAACGGATGTGCCAAAACAACCAATTATTCTTTTGAAGAACCTTTAAAGTGACAAGAAGCCAGTGTAAGAAATGAATTTGGAGAAATGGGGGAACCTCTATTATGGGGGTTCATAACAGAGAAGGAAATGAGGCAAAGATGCATGAATACTTATTTCAATGTATTCAGTGAACATATTTTAAGAGTGGGATTGGAAGAAGGAATCAATACAGGAGGTCAGTGTACACTATACATTTGAGATATGCAAATGTAACCACTTTGTTAGCTGAAAATAAATTTAGAAGAGCTAATTATGAAAGCAAAATCAGAACACCAAAAATCCATGATACTACTAAATTTTAAGTCAATAGTAATGTCAGCCAACACACTTCGTGTACCTGTAGTTGATGGAAAAGACATGAAGGTCATAGATTCGTTTTCTTGGGCACAAATACAGATAAAGATGGGCAGTGTGTTGGAGAAAAGTAATTGGGAATAATAAATTTAGACAAGATCGTGAGGGATAAGGACACTCCGATAACAGCAAAGATCACAATAGTTTCAGCAGTTATCAATCTGTACATAAGATCGCTCCTTTATTCTCATATCACATGCCATGGGCCACAAGAAGAACCACCCCCGTCCTCGCCCCCTAAAATGCAGTAGCCCTATGGGGCAGGCTGGGGTGGAGAGGGAAACGCATCATGAGCTGCAAGTCGACCCCAACCTCGCCGCCGCCTATCCCTCGCCCCGACCGCCCCTCACCTGGCAATAAAGGCGATACAGCGGCACGGCTGCGTAGGATAAGCCTGCCATGCCCACGACCCCGGCCGCCAGATAGGTGAGCACCGTCCTGTTGCGGCGCTTCCATTGCTGCTCCTGCTGCCGGCGAAACGCAGCGAGAGCCTCCGAACGCTCCCCGCGCTGCTCCCCGCGGAACTCCTGGCTGTTGCCACGGCGACAGAGCCTAACCGGCCTCCAGCCCCAGCCTCCCACCGTTCGGGCCACCAACAGCCAGCCCCGTGCGCCCGAACGCATGCTTTTTCCTGTCACGTGAACACTCTTTCTCTCTCTGGCTGCCTTTCGCAGTCCGGCGAGCGCGATTAGCAACTATCGCGAGAGTACCCAAGGTCAAATTCAGCGGCATAGTCGCTTTCATACTGCAAAACTTCTACGCTGTCATAAGAACATTCTGACTACGGCGGCCGTGGGGGGTAAGTTCGCGTTTTCGTTACCTGCCGCCTCTTTGCTCCGCCTCCGAGTTAGCTGCAAAACTCCCTTCCCGCAAACTGAGACGCCCCAGGCTAAGCTTAAAAAGGGATGCGTGCACTGCAGTCTTGTTCGTATCCAGGCTCACCCCTGGAAATAATGGGAAAGCTCGGAGCTTCAAAGGACGCAGTCTGGGGATTACACTGATTTGCAAGTTTTTAAGTGTCCGGTCTATTGATCACCTACTTCGTTAGGAACCAAAGGGGCTGGTATTCACACCGAAGCACTTGAGTAGGATGAGGGTACCGGGCTTGTACGGGGGAGACCCCATTCAGCCACCACGAAGCTCCCTGGGTGACTTGGGACTAGGCAAGATATTTCAACTGATCTACCTCTCAGGGTTGTTGTGAAGATAAAGTGGGGAGCAGGTGGAGTACTAGAATACGCTGTTTTGGGTTTGTTGGCCGCAAAGGCTGGCAGATTCGTTTACCCGGTACATAACACCAATCAGACACACCGAGTCAGGGGAAGTCTCTCTTGGTCACTTTACTGAAGTGCTTCAGCCATCTCTTTTTACAGAAGAATGAACATGTAGATTTTTCTGCATGCTGTGACCATTTTATCCAGCACTTTGTTGACTAAAGTTGTGTAGACTCACCTTAATATTGACTCCTCATGGCAGGAGTCTGAAATGGTGACTGGGGTGACATCTTGCAGTGTGAGCTGTGATTTGCCCCTCCTCTTGAAGCCCTTCCTGGATTAGACCAGCTCTGACAATTTTCACCCAGTCTCTAACCTCTCCTTTTTGAGGAAGATTGTGGAGCAGTAAATTCAGTACCAGCTGTATCAAACAAACTATCAAAGAATGTGTTTCTCTGCATTAGTTCGAATATAATCCATAGTAATTGTGTATATGATGCCCTAATGGTGTTCTCTTTTGCTTTACAGCAAAGGGTCAATTTTAGTTGTGAACCTGTTGGAATTTTCCATCTTAATGACATTTGTCCACAGAGATGGCATCCCCAGACTCAAATCACCCTGAAATGTAAGTTATATATAATGTTTACACATCTGTAGACCTGCAATAATTAAATACAATGTCTCTGATTTATATTATCAAATTCCTAATATATTTCTATGAATCTTGGCATGATAGATATAGTTAGTGCAGAATATAAAGAAAGGAATAAGTGCTTTCATACATGTTACACATACATGCACACATTACTGTGCTCTTATATGCTGAGCTAATAAGATTCCAGGGTGATATATATTTTGTGATCACTGACAGTAAATAAAGTAAAATACCAACAGAAGAGAATATACCTAGCTCAGGGTTGAATGTAGAGTCCTTGGTACTGTCTGGTTCTCTCTCAGCTTCAAAGGAATACAATTCACAAGGGAAGAAGAAAACAATAACACACTACCCTTCCTGGATATCTTCATCAGTAGAGAAACTATGGCAAATTAGAGACACAAGTCTATCGAAAAACAACCCACACTAACCAACTGCTTCATTACCAAAGTAATAAGCAAACCTCCCACAAGAGGAACTGTGCAAGAACATTATTCAAACGAGCACAAAAACACCACAGCAACCCAGAACACCAGAAAAAGGAAACAGACCGCCAATTCAATATCTTCCAGCAAAATGGATACCAACGCAAAAGTGCCTGACCACTCAACCGACTACAGCAGAACCAACACAAGCTATGAAA